GAGACTTCTTGAAAAACCTGATTCAAGTTATCCTCACCTAAATTCAGATACAGACCGAAGTTCCCATATTATTCAGCCGCATACATCATTGCAGTCCACCTGTGGGCCGCTTTAAATCTGCTGTCTTTGCTTCCTTGCCATTTCAGGAAGTGCCCCCGGAATGGCATGCTGAGCTGGTGCTGGACAGAGGGATGCCAGTGCAGCTGTGGGCACATTACATCCAGCAGGTCCGCACTGCCCAGAGGATTGCCGTGGAGGACTCGGTGTTACTCCTGTTCTCGCTGAAAAACTTTATTCATGCACTGAAGGCGCCTAAATCCTTTCCTAAAGGTAGGACAAGGTGGGAATCTTTTGAATGTGATACCCCGGGGAACGGAATTCTTGGATCCAAGACTGGGCTTGTGCTGAGTGAAAAGGCCCAGCAGCGTTCACATCAGTCACGCACTGTCTCTTTCGTCACATACGTGTAGGTGGCGTGTGGTGGAACCCTGACCACCTGGAGGAAGACGGCAGAGACTACCTGCGCTTGCTCATCGGGCTCTTCGAGATCATACTCGGTGGTGCCGACAGCACGCACTTCCGGGTGCTGATGAAGGTGTTCATGAAGGTGCGAGCCTCCTCTCAGGCGTGCTCTTCCCTTTCGAGTAACGCAGATGTTCTAGCTATGACCGTTTGGAGTGAAAGTGGAAGTAGACTTTTAAACAGCAAAGAGCATTTGATGGTAAACACTGGCCTTGCCAAGCAGCGCTGTGATCAGGGCCCCAGTCAGGAGGTTTGACCGAGACTGACATTGCCGCCTGCCTCCCGGTGGGCTAGGCCTGTCACTTGTGTAGTCAGTCTGCTTGGTGGGTTCATGCCATTGCCCACGAGGAATTGATGTTCAGAGAGGTGATTGAGTATATTCAGAGTCACTCGGGGAAGAAACGTTTTCACAGCGCCGGTGACCTCCGTGCTGCCTGGGCCAGAGGTCAGTGCTTTGTTCTTGTCTGCCTGCCTTCTGAGCAGCGTTTGACACAGTGGACAGTGTTCGCTCCGTCTTCACAGGACTTCCTGTGTGAGGCTTCCTGACACCACTCTTCTCGCTGTTCTGCTTAGAGTACTCGATCGGTTTTTTGTTTGTTAAATGTGTTCAAGTGCAAGCTATAGCGAGTCCTCTGAGTATCAGTCCTCTGAATTTATTTGCATACTTCCCAGTTTGCTAAACTACCAGATATAGAATAAGTAAGGGGACGTGGCTAGACAAAGCAAAGTACTGTAATAAAGTATTTTTTTTTAATAATTGTACACTAGGGAAAGGGACTAGGAACCAACCTATATTTAGTAAAATTTAAACTTCACTGTTTTGTTTAATTTAGGTACACCTAGAAGATGTTTCTCAGTTATTCAAGTTCCTTTCTGTTGTATGGACCTATGGGTCTAGCCTTTCAAATCCACTGAGCTGCCGCGTGAAGGCAGCGCTACAGACGCAGGCCCTGTACATGGGCTGTGCAGTGCTGACCTCGCAGAAGCCCCAGAGCAAAGCCCAGCTGTCCTCCATGTCTTCCCCAGGTACTTGGGCGTTGTCATGTCCTGTTGTGACCGTTCTTCAGCCTTCTCTGTAGGTGGTACGTGTGGGTTGTCGTTTGGAGAATTCCTTTTTTTTATAGATTTTAAAATAGAGCATGTGCTTCTACTTAGAAGTAAACTATCTGTTTACTTGAAGTTACACATGTCAATTGCAAAATCTCACTAAAACAAATGATAGAAGTGATAGGTGATGAATCCAAACCATCATAATATAATTCAGTATTGAACTAAAATTTCTGCATTGAAAACTGAAGTCAGCCCTAGCTGGTGTTGCTCGGTGGATAGAGCATTGGCCTGCGGACTGAAGGTCCCAGGTTCAATTCCAGCCAAGGGGAAGTAAAGTCAAAATAAACATCAATTCAGGACAAAATCTTTGTAAAGCACGATGCACTAATGGGTGACTTCCTCCACACAATTGTACAAGGTTGTGTATACAGGGGTGTTTGCAGCGGTTTTAATGCAAAAAGTCTAGAAATCTAAACTTTCTCCAGTGAGGTACTAGTTTTAAACATACGGAAAATCAGGGAAGACCTGTACAATTTAAAAAGAATGATTTTAGTTTTGTGTGGAAAACATTCCCAGAATGTCTTGCAGTTTCTGCAGAACAGTGTATCTACATGCTCTCATTTGTGTACTTTCCAAAGAATTTACCAGCACCTCTCTAACATTTTTCTAGAATACCAGATACAGTGAATGGTCTTTGGAGCGGGAGTGTGAGTTGGGAGTAAAACTTCTCATCATGTACTCCGGGGTACTATTTAAATTTTATACTGTTTTCTGTCTTTAAATTGTTATTTACATTTTTTTCTCTTTGGTTTCAGTAGTGGCATCTCTTCTCCTTAACCTGGGGAGCCCCATAAAGGAAGTGCGGAGGGCGGCCATTCACTGTCTGCAGGCCCTTGGGGGCGTTGCCTCCCAGTTCCACCTGGTGATAGAGCACGTGACTCCCAAAGCAGAGGAGGTCACCTCAGATGCCTCCTACGTCATCCAGGTAGCTCATCCGCACAGGAGGCTGCATGTGCACGCACCTTGTGTCCACCTGAGTGGTTTCCTCCGCTCTTGACTTGCTTTGTAAGGATTTTGAGTTTAGTCTCTGAATTTAGAAACTGATATGTCAATATTTGCACATCTTCCTCCCCCATTTTTTAAAGATAGCTGCTAGAAGACAAGTGCCTGGCTTGAGAGTAAGCTAAGGGGCACCAATGTCTTTTCCTGTTAAGATTTCAGGGGAAATGAAAAATGACCCTCCATAATCAGTACATTTAACCTTATAGTTCCTTAACTCTTCTTTATCCCATTTTCTTCTTGGTGCCCTAGGATTTGGCTACGTTATTTGAGGAACTCCAGAGAGAGAAAAAACTGAAGTCTCATCAGAAGTTGTCTGAAACTTTGAAAAACCTGCTTTACTGTGTATCTAGTTGCCCATCTTATGTTGCAAAAGATCTGCTGAAAGTGCTTCAGGGGGTCAACAGTGAGGTGAGTGCAGTGAGTGGCCCGGATGCCATGGGTGTCACGGCAGGTCACCGTAACACCCTGCACCGGCGAGGCCGGCAGAGTCACATGCATGCCTTCAGAATGAACGTTTTCTTACTAATTTGGGGAGGGAAGCATCATGGTGGAGAAAAATACATGGGAAACCAAAAGCACATATTGGTGCGTTTCTTCCCGTTTTAAAGTTGTGTGTTATCCCTGTCGAATCGCTGACTTGATTTTACATGAGCTTTAAAGTCACATGGGGAACCCCTGGAGGCAGACGCTGCAGAAAAGCTTGGGTGGCGTCTGTGCTTCCGGTGAAAATCCTCCACGAGGTGATATATTCAGACATTCCAAACCTTTTGCTCACTCTTTAAAGTTGTACACTTTCCGGGTGGAAATCCACAGCTTTCATTATGTTGTCAAGGAAACCTGTGGTACAGAAGCGGGGTTCCAGGGCCTTGTTGATGTGACGGGGTGTGCTGCCCTCGCCACTCCCTCGTCCTGGTGTCCAAGTGCCTGTGCTCCCCCAGCTTCGGACTGACTGCAGGTGGAGACGTACTAACGGGTGGAATAGTACGTCTGACTGTATTTTCCTGGTGGGAGCAAACATGGCATTTATCAGCTCTGTGTCATCCCGGGTGTAGTTTAAACAGGAATTGACCATCTTACTCTCTAAAGAACCAAGTAGTGAAAATTTAGGCCCTGCAGGGCATACAGTCTCGTACAGCTGCTCAGCTCTGCCTTCTGTGACTGTGGTAGTGGAGACAGTATGTGAGCAGATGGGCCCAGAAGCCATATTTTGCTGGCATTAGTTAAAGCCTTCACATACATAATTTGCATTAATATTAATTACATCAAGCTGGAAACACTTAGGGAAAGGTGCAGTGTTTTAGAAAAAGCTAAAATTTATGTTTATAATCTAAAACTTCAGTCTTGTTTGTATTTCCTGTTTTCAGAAAGTCTTCGGACACTCAGGTTTCTCCATTGATCCCTGAAGGGTAGAGCTTTTTGACCATTCATTGTAGACTAAGCTATAGAAGGGACCTGAGTACTTAATTGGGTCAACAGTCATCCCATGTCCCAGAGGACATCATTATTGGGGCGTTTTCTCCAGGCTAAGCTCCCAGTCTTCCAACAGGGTGTCTCTGCAGATCGTTGTTAAAGAAAACATGTACCAGTGTGGTAACTGTTTACTAATCAACTTTCCACACTTCAGATGGTGCTTGCTCAGCTCTTGCCGATGGCTGAGCAACTGCTAGAAAAGAGCCACAAGGAGCCCTCGGCTGTCCTGAAAGACGAGGCCACTGTTCTGCATCTCATTTTGGGAAAATATAATGAATATTCAGCTTCTCTGCTACATAAGGACCCAAAGAGTTTAGATATATTCGTAAAAGCTGTGCACACCACGGAGGAACTTTTTACGGGCATGCCATCCGTTCAGATTACAGCCCTCGAAAAGGTCAGTGACTTCTTTCAGAAACGAAAGCACATTCAAGCTTATAAAAATGTGTGATGTTTTACTTGGAGAAGATGAAGTGGACTGGACATGTTTTAAAGGAATATGATTTGTTTGACCCACTTGGCAAAACTGATGTACATGGGTCATTACAAAGTATTGCATTTTAAATGACAAAATTGGGAACAATTTTACATTTGTAAGAGAATGATGAATGTTTTAGGGATTAAAGTTTGTTCATTGAGCTCAATGGCCTTTTTCTTTTTTTTTTTAACCTTTAGATTACAAAGCCATTTTTTGCTGCTATATCAGATGAAAAAGTTCAGCAGAAGCTATTGTGCACATTGTGGTGCTTGCTCAGCTCTTGCCGATGGCTGAGCAACTGCTAGAAAAGAGCCACAAGGAGCCCTCGGCTGTCCTGAAAGACGAGGCCACTGTTCTGCATCTCATTTTGGGAAAATATAACGAATATTCAGCTTCTCTGCTACATAAGGACCCAAAGAGTTTAGATATATTCATAAAAGCTGTGCACACCACGGAGGAACTTTTTACGGGCGTGCCATCCTTTCAGATTACAGCCCTCGAAAAGGTCAGTGACTTCTTTCAGAAACGAAAGCACACATTCAAGCTTATAAAAATGTGTGATGTTTTACTTGGAGAAGATGAAGTGGACTGGACATGTTTTAAAGGAATATGATTTATTTGACCCACTTGGCAAAACAGTGATGTACATGGGTCATTAAAAAGTATTGCATTTTAAATGACAAAATTGTGAACAATTTTACATTTGTAAGAGAATGATGAAAAGAATGTTTTAGGGATTAAAGTTTATTCATTGAGCTCAATGGCCTTTTTTTTTCTAACCTTTAGATTACAAAGCCATTTTTTGCTGCTATATCAGATGAAAAAGTTCAGCAGAAGCTATTGTGCACATTGTTTGACTTACTGGTGAACTGTAAAAATTCCCATTGTGCTCAGACTGTTAGCAGTGTTTTTAAAGGGGTAAGTTGTTTGTTAATGTTTGTTCTCTTCCAAGTAACACCATGTTGAAGCATCCTCCGTATACAGTGCTTTTAGGAATTCCAGTGTTACCATTAACAAAATCCACAGAAAAGGCAGTCAGAGAGAAGTGCC